TGATACCAGCCAACGAAGACAACCATGCATCCATCCACCTCCATTCATTTTCAACATCAAATGAAAGCGAAGATTCCATTGTCAGACATCAGAGTAGCAGGCATTATCCGTATCTGGAAAGACGCATTTGACTGCACTAATGTGTAACAACTTTTCAAGTCAATTTTCCCTGACTGGGATTTCCTAGATTTACATAGTAATAGAAATACCAAAATGGATCATAAAAATTGCAGAGAAGAAGTAAGCGATTCTCATTCCCTACCGGTGTATGCAGCATGGCTGCGAAATTGAAGGGACAGTTTACGATTTTCTTACAAAGATGACGATTTGTGGGCAAAACTTCGTCCTCAGATGGGGCTCGAACCCGTACCTCTGATTTCGGAGCACCGTGCTCTTTATCCCTTACAGTAGCAAGACCCCGCCTGCCCTCGCCTTCTTGATGGCTTATATGCCATAGCTTACCAGCACTAATACTTACAACGTGTTGAGCCGGTCAGCCACTATCAGCACAGAACCGCTAAGCTGTAAAGAATAAAGAAAGAGGATGGTGCCCGGAAAGCACAAGTACGGGCTCGAGTCCCTCTGAGGCCGAAGTTTGCCCCAGACTTTGAGACTTTGCACCGCGTGCTGCGGCGATACAACAGCAATTAACAATACAACAAGTCAAAACAAGTATAATATTGTTACTTTTGGGATACTCATATAATGAAAAACAAAGAAAAGAAAGAGAAAGAAGGAAGGTGGAAGAGAATGTGAATAATAGGGCGATGGAGGCGAGAAAATCACGAATAGGTGAGTAGGTGTTCTTAAAGTGATAATAGGCTTCTAAAAAGTCACCGAAAAGGGGCTGGACGAGAATACATTCACAAAAATGAAGCAGAGGGGTAGAGAGCTATACAATGGGGGTCATTGAGTACGTGTGGGTCCTAGTACGATTAGCTGACTACAGCAAGCAAAAATATCCTTGAAAACTCATTCAGTTATAAGCACAAGTTAACAAAAACATTAGTATTAGCAAAAATAACCCACCTTCCTCGTACTCTTAAAGTATAAAACTATAAAAATGATCACATCAGTAAAAAGAATAGCAGAGAATAACAGAATACGAGTACAGAATACATTACCTCACCACCCTGCGATCAGCTGATTGCATCATAGGCGTATTTATCCTGCTGCTGATAGCACTACCTTTATCGCTCCTACACTCTTGTAACATAACATCAGTCGATGGACATGCCATCCTACCGATGGGGTGAAGAGGCTTCCACCACACCCCAGCTCTTGAGTTTTTGAGCCCGGTCTGTCTGTTACCTCTACTGGTCACAGGTCAGAGTAATCCTGAGGGAAAATTGAGAGACCATTTTTATAGTGAACCGTACCTTTAAGAATTCCGTCCGGCGCCAGAGTTTCAATGCAGTTCTCAAGGTAGCGCCAAAGCGAACGAGCAATTGTTTGCTCGTCTGCGCTCTCTCGTGTATGAGTGATCATTGCTCTTACGGCTTCAATTACCTCTTAACTGAAAGGGCCTAGACACGATGATGAATATGATAGGGTTAAAGGGTAGAATAATAAAATCTTAATAACAACGAGATTTTGCATCAGCGATATGACCAATATTTCTCAGTGATATAATATAGAAAAGTATAGGGAGTAGGAAAGAGTGCGGCAAAGAAGCAATTGATTGAACGCATACAGAGATCTGAATTCGGAAAAGTTGACGTCCACACGGAGATGCGGTCGTGATTCAGGTTGCGTAGGAGGTGCATCACCCACAATAAAGCATGTATGTTGGAACGTCAAACACCTTATAGTCCTTGACCAGCGGTGGCCGAGAGATACTTTTGGTAGAAGTACAGGGTGGGCCAAAATTATGATTACAGCGCGCGCTGACGTTCATTGCAAATTTTTTCTATGTTCATAACAATTCATTGAATTTCTTCCATTTCACAAAGTAGCTTACTTTATTATCTTTCTAATGATACTAAACTTTGGGTAGATTTTTAAAATAATATAAGGGTAACTAGTCCGTGAATTAAGCGTCGCTTTGCATTTACAAACACTTTTGGCACGGTGCATCTACAGACGAACTAGCGAAACAAGGCAGGTATTGCATTCAACCATAAGACGCTCTCGAGAGTTGGGAACAATTGCAGACAGGAGTGGTGAACCTAGGAGAGCTGTGGTTATATTTAGTGGGAGTTTTAATGAAGTAGGGCGAAGGTCTGCGTAG